TTTTTTTTCTTACTGGAATTGCTATCTTAGGCCTGGTCTGCACTTAAAAGTTTTGCCCCCATAGTTGTGTGGGGTGGTGTTTTTTGTTTTGTTTTTGTTTTTTTTTTTGGCCAGCACATTTATTCTGATAGAAGCTTGAGTAGACACAGTTTATATCAGCAAAAAAGGCCTTATTTATCTCCGGGAAGAAGGTATATCCGCAAAATAACTTTTTTGCTGGTATAAAATATGTCTACACTAGGAGGGTTTACAGGTAGACCTATACCAACAAACCTCTTAGGTGAAGAGAAGGTATATGGACAGTTTATTATTTTGCTTAAAGGCATCAGTAACTTTGGCTGGCAATTCAAACTACCCAATTCTTTCTTCATCATCAATTTATGTATGTATTCTCTGGAGGCCCCAACCAAGATCAGAGCCCCGTTACGCTAGGTGCTACACAAACACACAGCTCTTGCCTCAAAGAGCTTACCATTTAAGGCCCTGATCCTGAATGAGCTGTGGACATAGGTTTCCATCTGTGCATAAGGAGCTGCACTGAAGCTGAAAGACGTCTGCCCACATGGAGCATGTGGCAGGATCAAGACTGAAATACTCACGTTCTACGCTTAGTTTGTATTGTATAGTATTACCTTCTCTCTCCATTTTACAGTTCATGCAGGAAGTCAGTGACTGAACTGGGAATTAAACCTAGATCTTTCAAGTCATACTCCAGCACTTTAACTACAAGACCATCTGTTTTTCTCCATTTAGCTTTGTTAACTTGCACGTTTTATCTGGGATTATTTTAAGTTTATATTTGATTTATTAATATGGTTCAGTTATATCACTTAATAAAACTGTGGTGGCTATGCTTAGGAGGATCTTCGGATAGATGGCCGTGGCTGTGAAGACTATAGATGTATTGAAGTGGAAACAGATGTAGTATCAAACACAAGTGGATCTGCAAGAGTGAAGCTTGTAAGTACAGATACAAGGAGTTTTTTATATTGCTAGTGGAAGCTCCTAAATTATCATGACTTTGAGGCTGTAGGTCAAGTCCAGACTTTATCACTTGACTATTTGTATTAAGTTTTATTGATTTTTTTTTTTTTTTTTTTTTGCTTTTTAATACAAATGTAAAAATACACACACACAAAGTGAATACTCTTAATGTATAATTACGATCTGAAATATACACCACAGTATTAACAGAAATTTGACTTTAATGATATGTGGCACAAACTGAAGCTCCTGTTTGTTCCCTTTCACCACCTCCTAACAATCTGTGACAGATATTGCAACCGTGTGCCGTGTCTTTGGGATTCATTAATGGTTTATGTATAATTGTGTTCTGCTTCATGGGGGTGGGCTACCACTGCTCCTCCAGCAACTAAAAACCAAAGGGGTGATTAAGGGAAATGAGCCAGGTTGTAAGCTGTGAGAGAAATACAACGTGCTGGGGGACACTCATGTATACTGGTTCAAACTGGACTCTCCAGAGACCAGCAGACAAAGAAGGGACTTTTGGACAAAAAGCCTGACTTGAGGCCTTATTTCTGATCCAGCAAATGGACAGGACCTTCTGTCCTGAAGGGTAGGGAGTTGAGGGAAGCATGCCTTGCAGAAGGGTTGGAAGGACTTGCCCTACTAGGGCCCCATAAGACTAATCGGTAACCTCTGCTGAGCTTTTAGCATGCATATCGGGACTCATTGTTTTGAAGTGTTTTCTCTGTAATGTTTTTACCTTAAGAATAAATATGCTTGCTTAGAAGGAGCTGTGTGCTAACTTATAACTGCAGGCAATATACTGGTCATAGCCTTTGGAAAGAAAGCCAGGCACTGGCCTGGTTAGGCCATCTGGCTTGTTGGGGATAGTATAGTGTAATCTGGGGAGCTGTGCAGCCTTAAAACTCTGGTCAAGAGAGAGTGCAACATAGTTTTCTGCTCATGAGAGATGTTGGCTGGGAGCCAAAAACTTTTAAGTAGGTGCCCTCAAGGGACTGTGTAGGGTGGGGGAATACAAGTGGAATGAGCCTGAAACTGTGACACGGTCCATAAAGAATGGTTACTTAGTCCTGGTCTATTCTACAACCTTATGTTAGTATAACTTCATCGCTCAGGGCTGTAGAAAATTCACACCACTGAGCAACGCATCGTACCGACCTAACTCCCAGTGTAGAGAGCACTATGTCAATGGGAGGGCTTCTCCTGTCGACATAGCTACCGCCTCTTAGAGAGGTGGAGTACATACACAGACAGGAGAAACTCTCCTGTTGGTGTAGGTAATGTCTTCAGTTTCACCTCGGCAGTGCTGTAAGTGTAGACAAGCCCTTGCTGTGAGCGAGATCTATTGGCAAAATACATTGAGGCCAGAGGAAGCTGACATAATCCACCATTTAAACCTGTGAAAGTAAAGTCAGTAGTATGACTAATAAATAGAGAAATAATTCTTCACAGTGTTCATATCTCAACAAATTAAAACTGCTGCTTTAGTGGGTGTTGTATGTACAGACAGTGGCTATCGCTCAGGGTATTAGAATAGTTCTGCATATGTATTTATTCCAGGACTGAATTTATGAAGTCATAGATATTTAGAATGTCCTATTAGCATAGAGAAATTTTGTACATACATAGGGTTTATTTGAGGAAACGTGCTCAAACTTAACATTGTCTCTTCGAAAGCTTTGATTTATTAAAATAAAATACTGGGTCATGCTCGAAATGCTATTTGGCAGAATAGTTTGTGTAGCTAACATAAAGATAAACATTAATAACAGCTTGACCCCTATGTGGATAAATTGTACAAGCTATGGCGTGGAATATTTTTCTGGTTGAGTGACCTGGTATTTTAACAGGGACATACGGACATCCTGGTAGGAGTCAAAGCTGAAATGGGAACACCGAAGTTGGAGAATCCAAAGGAAGGCTACCTTGAATTCTTTGTTGACTGGTAGGTACAATAAGGAAGAGTACCAAAAGCCCAATACTTTGAGTAAATAATGCGTTTAGAAAAGCTATTGATCTAAAGGATATTCCTTAATTTCGTTGGCCTGCTGTAGTGGTCTACATAATAGAAATAAGCTATTTTGTTGCTTTAGTGGATGGTAAAATTGGGAAAATGCTCTGCTACTCCTTTGGAATCATTGTTTTGCTTGGTTCTAGAAATTACAAGATTATTATAATTGGAAAAGATAAAAGGGGAAAAAAAATTCAGTTTGTTTACTCTTTGTGCATTTGACAGAACTTTGTATAGAGTTTATTTCCCCCTGTTCTCTCTGGGACTTGGACAAAAAGAAAATGAGAGAGAGAGAGAATATCCATTTAAAAAAAAAATGGTAGGTACACTCAGAGATAGGTATGCTACCTGAAACTATTTTTTCTTTTATTGAATTGCCTAGATTTCAAGTTGTCAAGGCTGAATCCCCACTGTGTCACTTGGAGTGTAGGAAGAGGGGGCCCGCAAGGATTTTAAAAATTAATATTTGCCACTCCAGGCTTGTATTACACTCCCAAGGTTACAGCTTCTCTCTGACCTTGGCTTGGTAAACACTGCCACCACCCAAATGCAAAAAAACCCTTTTAACCCAGGAAGGAGCACTTGCAGTTCCTTCCTCTGGGGTAACCTCAAGCCCTTTCTCACACAGATACAGACACACCTGAGAAAGAAACAAAGGAAATTAGCTGTGGCTACCAGCTAATCAAACAACATGCACAAATCTCTTAGGACATCAATAATCCAATCCTGTTCTTAAAAATGGTAAATTTTATTGAAAACAAAAAGGAAAAAATACATTTGGAACCTAGGCTTTTGCTAGACTTTAAAAAGAGCAGTTCCAAAAATTAAGCACCCAAAATAGCTTTCTTGGGGGTTCAGCTTAAAGGTTACAAGCAAACAAAAGCATCTGGGGTTAGCACAGAGGAGATCTACAAGCCTTAAAAAATAAACAGAAATAAACCTGATCGTGTTTAGATAAACATTCTGATCTACTTACACCTTTGAGTTGTTAAAAGTAGTTCTAGATATGATCTGATCTGATTTTCGTATCTGGTTCAAACTTTATACAGCATTCCTGCTGCTCCGTCTCTTCAGCCCAGAGAGCAAAAGACAAACGGAAGTTTGTTTCCCAATTTTAAAAAGTTCTACCTTTCCGTTGGCTCTTTTGGTCAGATGCCCACTCCTTCTCTTTTACCTGTGGGCTTGTTAACCCTTTACAGGTAAAGCAAGCAGAGAATAGACCAAGAGGGATTTTACAGCTAACTGACTGACTGGGTGTCCATCAAAGGGAGTTACTCCCCACTCGTCCCCCCAATGTATATCACAAGTGTATGGTAATTAGAAGTTGTCCTTTTTTTTTTTTTATTTGAACACAATAACCCTGTGAATTCAAGATATGACAGTTAACTGCCTAGAAAATAACATTCAGAATGGCATTTTTCAGTAAAGCACTATTTCCTCCATGAGCTAGAAATCAGGTTCATGTTTAAGCATGTTTCTGACTTTCTTGACCGTGAATGAGGCATTACTGTTGACTGCTTTCCAGTGAGCAGGATTATGGAAGGAGCTTGAGACAGTCCAGGAGCCCCAGCTTACAGGTTGCTTTAAGAGTTGTCACAGTCACCACCTAGTTTAATTAAGGGTTACACATGCTGCTATTTAGGTGGGAGCACAGGGCATGTTAGGTGGACTTTCTAAACTCTACTTCAATTACAGAACAGATACAAATGGTTTTTTTTCCCACGTAAGCTTATGCCCAAATAAATGTGTTAGTCTTTAAGGTGCCACCGGACTCGTCGTTGTTTTTGTGGCCTCCTGGGCTGTGACTGAGGGGCAGGGGGGAAGCAGCGGCCCCTTCCCCTTCCTGGTGCTCCTGGATGCACTGCCTTGGTGTTGGTTTCTGGGGCTTCCAGCAGGGGTTGGGCCCTAACCCCCTCTGGAGACACTTGGGGCACAATGCTGAAGGAGCAGGCAGCTGGTGAGTGCTACGCCTCTCCAGAAGTGGTGGGGCTCAGGCTTTGGGCTTCAGCCTGGGAGTGGTGGGGAGGCAGATTCCAGCCATGTGCCTTTGGGTTCCATCCCCTATGGGGCTTCAGGCTCCAGCCCTCCCACTGCCTCCCCCGATCCTCCATCCAGGGCTTAATTTGTCCCCAGACTTGCAGGGCTGAGTAAGTCTGCTGTGAAAAGTGATACTTTTATGTATGTTAATATCACTTTTCACAGACTTAGTAGCTAGTAATAAATAAATTACAGCGCTTTCGATGTGCATATTTATTTTTCCTAAAGCTAATTAAGTATTTTAGGAAAAAATGTGAGTGGCCACGAGCAAGAGTTGGTGGCTGCACTCTGAGGCCACCAAATACACCTCTACCCCGATATAACGCAACCCGATATAACACGAATTCGGATATAATGCGGTAAAGCAGTGCTCTGGGAGGGGCAGGGTTGCGCGCTCCGGCGGATCAAAGCAAGTTCAATATAATGCGCTTTCACCTATAACGCAGTAAGATTTTTTGGCTCCTGAGGACAGCGTTATATCTGGGTAGAGATGTAATTTGTCCTGAGAACTCCTGCTTTAGAGGTTTGATAGAGTAATAGACTTTAAGGTCAGAAGGGACTAATATGATTGTCTAGTCTGATCTCCTGCACAACGCAGGGGGCAGAATCTCACCCACCCACTCCCGCAACAAACCCCTAACCTGTGTCTGAGCCATTGAAGTCCTCAGATCATGGTTTAAAAACTTCAAGGCTCAGAGAATCCTCCAGCGAGTGACCCGTGCCCCATGCTGCAGAGGAAGGCGAAAAACCTCCAGGGCCTCTGCTAATCTGCCCTGGCGGAAAATTCCTTCTCGACCCCAAATATGGCAATCAGCTAAACCCTGAGCATGTGGGCAAGACTCACCAGCCAGACACCCAGGAAAGAATTCTCTGTAGTAACTCAGATCCCACCCCATCTAACATCCCATCACAGGCCATTGGGCATACTTACCGCTAATAGTCAAAGATTAATTAATAGCCTCATTTTGGCAATTAATTAATCCCATCATACCATCCCCTCCATAAACTTATCAAGCTTAGTCTTGAAGCCAGATATGTCTTTTGCTCCCCTTGGAAGGCTGTTCCAGAACTTCACTCTTCTGATGGTTAGAAACCTTCATCTAATTTCAAGTCTAAACTTCCTGATGGCCAGTTTATATCCATTTGTTCTTATGTCCACATTGGTACTGAGCTTAAATAATTCCTCTCCCTCTCTGGTATTTATCCCTCTGATATATTTATAGAGAGCAATCATATCTTCCCCTCAGCCTTCTTTTGGTTAGGCTAAACAAGCTGAGCTCTTTGAGTCTCCTTTCATAAGACAAATTTTCCATTCCTCGGATCATCCTAGTAGCCCTTCTCTGTAGCTGTTCCAGTTTGAATTCATCCTTCTTAAGCATGGGAGACCAGAACTGCACACAGTATTCCAGATGAGGTCTCACCAGTGCCTTGTATAACGGTACTAACACCTCCTTATCTCTACTGGAAATACATCACCTAATGCATCCCAAGACCGCATTGATACGTACTGATGCTGCTTGAGTTAACTGCTTGGTAATCTGTTTGTCATATAAATAAAAGAAGTGTTAGTGGGTTGCCTTGATAGATTTGTAAACATTTGGTAAACTTCTTAACTCTAAACTGGAAGCACCACTGTTCTCCCCAAAGTATAGGGCTCCTTGCTGGTCTTCTATAGTTTAGATTTTAGTACACAGAGGAAGTGCAAGAATTGCCTGGGGTGGGGAATTCCAATTATTTTCAATCTCCATTCTACTCCATTCCACTCTCCTCATAAGAATATAGAAACTAACAGACTGGGTGAGATACAAAGATACATCTAGTCCCATATCTTTTCTCTGGTAGTGGCCAGCACCCAGCTGTTTCAGAGGAGGGGGCACAAAACTTTTTAGTAGGCAGATATGGGTAATTTCTGCCCACCTCTGACCTAGGGAAGTCTTTCTTACCTTTAATAATTAAATATTGGGTTTTGCCCTGACGAATTAGGTTTTATCACTTCCAAATTATGTTTTTGAGTATTTACTATTAAAACTCTGGATTTTGCTATCCATATAAATGGCCAATCCCTCTTTGAATTTTGCTCAGTTCTTGGCCCCAATGATCCTCACCAGGATTTGGTCACTTACGCCTTCTCTCCATCACGAGTCTCATGCGATTCCATATTTTTCTGTTTTAAAAAAAGAAAAACTTTAATTTATTGCACCACACCCAAAGCCTTGACCACTGCGGGAGTACTACATTCACATAATGTTCACATATCTCACGTGTCACAGAGCCTTTGGCTCTCCAACTTGCAAGATCTAAATTAGGATTAGAGCCCTGTTTTTGGAGGGGAACATCAACATATGAGTTTATTTTTCCCCCGCAGTTGCTGGTAGAGGAGTGTCTGGCAGGGAGCTTTTTCTTCCCCATCTGGTCCAACTGTCAGAGAGAGGGAGAGGTCTGGCCTGTGAGTTGCAAAACTTGAAGAGCCCAAAACTGTTTTGTTTGGCTTCAAGGCTGGTCCTGACCAATACTAAATGGAAAAAGCCCAAGGCTGAGAGCTGCTACCTCCTTCTCCCTGCCTCTGTCACTCAGTAATGTTGAATGAAACCAACTACCCGTGAGAGTGTTTTGTGTGTGTGTGTGTGTTAACAAATGTCCGGTGCTGTTCATCAGTTAGTTTGGAGAGATGCCCAGTAACGAGTGCCCTAAGGGGCCACAGAAATTCATTGTAGCATTGTTTTCATTTACGGCTAGTATTACAAGTCCTCAAATGTTTCTTAAATTATTTTAGTTTTAGATTCTATTTTATAATTGCCAAAGAGATAGAGGCAGATGTGAGGGCCAGGATGATTGGAGAACCTCTCCCTGAACTGTATCGGGGGGTAGCCGTGGTAGTCTGGATCTGTAAAAAGCGA